ATTTAAAGTGTCAAGACATCATGCTTTTGTGCCCTAAAAGATACCTTTTGTCATTAATTTATATTGAAAGATGTAAAAACTAACATTAATTTTAATGTTATTGTCATGTTGACAAACTTAATTAGATAGTTGATAAATTAAATATCAACATTTACTTTTCAATATAAATTTATGATGAAAAAATATATTTATTATACTTTTTAATATACATCTTAAAAGTAAAAGTTAGAAAAACCCTTTCATAATCCTTCTTCCATTCATTTTTTTTTTTTTTTTTGGAAAAAGGCAAGTTTTCCATTAGACGTTAGATGACATGTACAATTTCCTCCCACGTATATCCAGGGAATTACACCTTTCAGATCTTTAATCTCAAAAAATTAATTATTTCATTATATATATCCTTTTCAACCAAAAACTTACTAAGAGTTACTCTCCTATTTCTTTCTTGCCAAATCATATATATAGTGGCAGTTACCGCAGCCTTCAACTTGTTTGACTGTGTCGATTGGCCTTTACATGCCTTCTTTAACCATAGCCATTCAACACTCCACCTTTTTGGTTGTTTGTGAATATTCAAGAAGTTCAAGACTAACCTCCACACTTCTTTAGCAAAACTACAATAAAAAAATAGGTGCTCACAAGTTTCATCATATCTACCACACAAGCAGCACCCTTTCTCAATTCTCATACCTCTACTTGTTAGTAAATCTCTAGTTTTTAGTCTACCCCGCAATACCAACCAAAAGATGAATCTATGTCGCGGGAAAATGCACCCTGCCCAAACAATATGATGCCATTCTACCTTAAGGCGTTTCACTCTTAGGAACTTATAGAAACTTGAAATAGTAAACAAACCATTCTTTGCAGGTTTCCATACAGCCTTGTCCACTTGTTAAGATAGTTTTTGACATCTAATAATCTGGACAAAGCATGGGATGTCTTCTCACAAAACTATCTGGAATGGTCCAATCTAAACCATCCCACCACTCACTAACTGTAAGGTCATGGCCCCAAACAGCAATCTCATCCTTTGAGATCAACTCACAGAACCTTAACTCACCTGCCCACCAATCATAGAATAGTGAAACTTGCCTTCCATCTCCCACTTGCATCCAAATGATATTTTTCAGTAGAGGACGAAGTTTTAAAACTTGCCTCCATGTCCAAGCACAATCCGCTGGGATTTTAACCTTTCAAAAATTTTCACCCCTTAACAGCACCACCTATGCCCACTTAACCCATAGCGACTCTTGATGTTGACATATATTCCAAACCAATTTGCCTAATGCTGCCTTATTCCAATGCAGCAATTGCTTCACCCCTAGTCGCCCCTTTTTTCCTTGGCACACATACATCATCCCATGCTATAAGAGACATTGCATTATAATCCCATTTACCACACCAAATGAAATTTCTACAAGCAACATCAATTAGCTTTAACACTTTCTTAGGAATCAATAAAGCACCACTCCAAAAAACTTGAATGTGGAATAAAACAAAGTTAACTAGTTGAACTCTACCTGCATATGAAAGGAATTTTGTTACCCAAGAGCCAATTCTCTGATGAATTTTATCGATAATAGGTTGACTTGCCTCAGGAGACAGCTTTTTTGAAATCAATGGCAACCCCAAATATCTAACTGGAAGCTGTCCCTCAGCAAAACCCAACTTCTGAATTAAAGCAACTTTTTGCCCTTTTCTAACACCATTGAAGAAAACCTGACTCTTCATTCTATTCACTTCCAACCCAGAGACTCGGGCAAACTCCTCAAACTTTTGCATCATCAAAACAGTGGACTCCTCATCAGCCTTACAAAAAGTCATAATGTCATCTGCAAAGATCAAGTGCGTAAGTTGCATCACTCGACACTTCCTATGATATTTAAACTTCTCCTGCATATCTAACTCCTTCAATTTCCTTGTGAGATATTCCATCACTAGCACAAATAGATAATGCGAGATTGGATCACCTTGTCGAAGCCCTCGTTGCCATTGAAAATAACTCTTTGGTTGTCTGTTTATCAATACAGAAAATCTAGTAGTAGAAACACAAAGCATAAGCCAATTAATAAATCTATCAGCGAAGTTCAGCCCTCTTAACATTGCATTAACAAAACCCCAATCCACTAAATCATATGCTTTTTGTAGATCAATTTTCATTAAGCATCTAGCTAGCTCCTTACTTCTATGATAGTTCCTCACCAGATCTTGGCAAATCAATAAATTTGTCGTTATAGATCTACCCTTCACAAATGCAGTTTGATTACTGCTAACCAGCATGCTTAGTAATTCATTAATCCTCTGGGTTAAGAGCTTTGATATCACCTTGTAGATGACATTCTTCCGTTCATTTTTAGTAAATCTTAGTTTTTTTATCCAATAAAATAAAAATATAATAATTTATTAATAAAATTTTATATTTATTCTTAATTAAATACCACTTAAAGAAGATTTCTTATTTAATATATATTGTAATTATATTCTTAAAACGAAGATAAAATAAAAATAATTCATTAAATGACATTTTTTTTAAAAAATGCGGACAACTAAATTTGAACGCACCAAATAGGAAACTAGGTCTGTAAAATTTGAATGAAGAGAGTAATTAATGAGAAAAATAAAGAATACATTAAATTTTTTTTTATTAATTAGGTGGTTTAAATTAAATTTACGTGATTTACAAAGATTATTGAAGTAAAGTGTATTATTAATTAAAATAAAAAACATATCACTATTTCAGTAAAAAAATATCACCCAAGTATATGCATATTGTATAATATTAATTAAATTATTTACTAAAAAAATTAATTGATTAAAAATATATTATCCCTTAAAACAAATGAAGGCAAGAAAGAAACATGCAAAGGCGTGCAATGCCATGCAAACTTGTAACAAAACGGCGTCACAGAGTCAGTTAGCGAAGGGGCTGATTTGCATCAAACGTGAGGTTGGAGGGCTTATTTACGCCCTTTTTAGTTCAGGGGCTTGTTACGTACTGTCAAAAAAGTTGAAAGGCTTAAATATGGTTTTTGTTTTTTACAATTCAATAAGAGAAAATCACTAATTAAATAAGATCCCCATCATCTCAATCATTGCACCATAAGTTAATAATTTATATGTTAAATCCCAAATTTGTTCCCTAAATTTATTATACGGATTTTAAGTTAGTTTTTGAATTAAAAAAAATCCTTGACTTATTTTCTAAAATTTTTATATTTGACTCCAAGTTGGTCTTCCCATCAAATAACAAATATGTCAACTGTTTTTAATAAAATGATCAATTTAAAAACAAACTTAAAATTTTTAAAGTTCAAATAATTTTTTTTTTAATTCATGAACTAACTCAAAAATCAATACAATAGTTGAGAGGCCAAAATAGGAGTTTATCCTAACTTATATAAAACGTCTACATATATAATTACATCTATCCCACTTGTAAGATATTTAAAAGTAATTAGCATTTTTTTTGCTACAGCGGTAAAATCAATTGATTTGAATATTGCCATACATCATCTAAATTAAAAATTACAATATCTTAATAGATTACTTGATGAGTGTGGTCATCAAGATCTCACATTATCTATTAAAAATTAAGGATAATTATAATTTACAAATAAAAAGATATAAATTCGTTCTGCTAAAGAGGGGCATCCTATTAATTTCGATAAGTCAGAAGAAAGCATGTGAACTTAAATTTAAATATAATATATTCAGCATATTATCAATTAGTTGTAGATAGGATACTTATAAGGTGTTTGGCAAAGTTTAAAATGTATTTATTTTAAAGAAGGGATTTATTTATTTTAAAACTAAATTCTTCTCTTACATAAATTTAAAATTTTATTTGAGGAAAATTAAAAAATTAAATTAAACTTTTAAGTAAATTTTGAGAAAACTTAAATGCATAGCTTTTTAAAAATTTATTTAAAACTTATTTTAAATGCTAATTTTTCAATTTTCCTCTAATTATTTTTTAAATTTATGAAATAACAATTTGCTTTTAAAGCAAGAGCATTTTAGATGTACACTGATTTTAAGCATAATGGACTATAAAATATGAATTGGCATTATATAATTAACCTTCTTTTATTCAAAAAATACATATATATTATATACATTTATTCATTTAATATTATAAGTTAAAAAAAAAATAGGTGACATTTTACTTGTAGGATTGCCCTTAAAATATCAAAGACCAAAAAGACCCAAATAAGTATACAACCCATGGGCTACAACCCTTAGCCCATAACCATTTAAAACAGTCCAGATTTTTTTGGGCCAATCTAAAACAGTTCAGATTTTTTTGGGCCAGACAGTCCAGATTTTTTTGGGCCAATCTAAAACAGTCCAGATTTTTTTGAGCCAATCTAAAACAGTCCAGTTGAAAAGCTTCAAAAGTGAACTTATACTATGACACTTTTAGTCTCTCACCTATACGAATCGAAAAAAATAATCTTCACTTAACATCAAACTATAATATTTTGTTAGTTCTGTTAATTGATTGTTAGTTCTACTAACTGACTATTAATTCTGTTAATTGATTATTAACTCTATTAACTAATTGTTAGCATTCTGTCAATGAAATTAATAAATAAAATTGAATTTAAATTTCATATTTTCTATAATGGAATACTAACAGTGAGCTAACAGAATTAATAGTCAATTAACAGAACAAACAATTAGCTAATAGGACATTAAATAAGGGTTATTTTCTTCGATTCTTATAGTTGATGAGCTCAAAGTGTCATAATATAAAATAAGAAGTTAAAATTTACAAATTTATTAAGGCAAATGGTTAAAAGTAGGTTTATGCCTCGCACATGATATATGTTGCAAGAAGATATGAAGAAATTTTTTCTTAAAGTAGAGATTGAATTTATTAATAAATAATTATCATTATATAGACTAATTTTAGAGTTTAACTCTTGATATTAGTATTTAAAGAAATTTATTGAAAAAATTTCTTTATAGTATGTCTACTAGATTTTTTTTTTTTATTATTTAGTAAAGATACAATTTGTAATCTTATAAAAGTGAAAGTACTTTAACAAAATTTATTATAAGTGTATTAAAAATTCTTATAATGTCTATAATATCTTTTTGAGATGTAATAGTTAAAATATCAAATTTTTATCAATATTACCTAAACAAATTACCATAAAATTAAAAAATAACAATTAAAACTCTCTCCACACAATTTTCATAGTATTTTTTTTATCATTGGAAGTATGTATTTTATTAAATTTTAGGTTACTTGAAATTTAAAATAATTTTTTTTAATTCAGTTAAAATTTTAATTAATTGAAATATTTTAATTTGATTCATCATGAAAGAGGTTTTTTTCCTTAAGAAGATTAAAAGAAATTTGTTAATTAAAGGAACTATATTAAAATAAATTTTGACAATCAAAACTGAATTTTTGAATTAGATTTTGTGATTAAAATAAAATCATTAATCAAAGTAATAAAAGATTGGAAAGAGAAAGTTTTGCTTTTTATAAAAAAAAATTAATATTATTTAATTAAAATTAATTAGTATTCAATATTTTAATTATTTATAAAAAAAGAGTATTATAGACTTTTTAAAAAATTCTAGTATACTTATTAGGCACCCGAATCAAATAAAACATGTGCATAATCAGAGTTAACAGGCAAGGTACCCGTGATTACGTCGGTAGCCGCAGCTTCCTTGTGAGTCATCACTTGCACTCTCGCTTGCTGGGCTCTTGTCCTAACCCCGGTACTCTGTTTCTGTGCCCCCTGACTAGTAGAACTCTGCGGAGAGGTAGGTTGAGTACTTTGAGCTTTGGGGTCTAGTAGTGGACAATTTGCAATTTGATGTCCCTGCTTGCCACATTTGAAACAAGCCCCAGTAACAGTGTGGCACTGATCCCGGGTGTGCCCAACCTTCCCACAAACGTGGCAAGTAAGCTGAGTAAGACGAGCATGTTGGGCCATTGATGCCTGGCTCACAATCTTGGTGGCTCCTAGCCCTTTATAACCCTTGTTGATCTCAGACTTAGGCGGTGCAAGGACAAGGGACCTATAGCTCCCATCAAATTTTCTCTTCCCAAGGGATGACCTAGCACTATGCTGTCCTGAGGACTTGACTCTAGCCATAGCCTTCTCCTGATCTATGGCTCTGTTCACTGCCTCTCGATAAGTGACAGGTTTAAATTGATTCACCGCCAGATAAATATCAAGATTCAAGCCCCATAAAAATTTATCAGCCTTGGCTGGCTCATCCTCAACTTGACTACCCACAAAAGGCAGATAGCGGTCAAACTCCTTCTTGTACTGCTCAACAGTACTTGACCCTTGCTTTAGATCTGCAAATTCCCTTTGCAGTTCTCGCCTTTTGCTATCTGGTATGTTCTCTTGCATGAACACCTTTTTAAAGCCATCCCAGGTGCTCAATTCAGGCTCTCCTTGATGTAGCTTCAGATAATTCTCCCACCAAGTTAATGCTTCACCAGTAAGCATATAACTGCCTACATCGACCTTAAGGTCGTCAACAATCTTCAGTAGGTGGAATCCCCGCTCCAGCTTGGTAATCCACGACCCCACCTGCTCAAAACCTGCGGTACCATTGAATCTCTTGGTCACCACCTTTTGGAATTCTGTATAGACCTTCCAGCTAGACACCGTAGGAGCAGAAGAAATAGGAACAGGGGAAATTGGAGCAGGGACCGTAGGAGTGGAAACCACTGGGGATGGAGGTGGCACACTTGTGGTAGGAGATGCTTGGCGTCTTATCTCTGCCATAAGTTTCTGAACAAAAGTGGCTATCTGAGGATTACTCGTCCCTCCCTCCTGCAGAACAGCTTGGGCAAGGGGACTAGCATCTGGGATCGGAGGAGTGCCCTGATCCTTACGACCACCCCTTGGGCGCCCACGCCGTTTTGGGGCCATCTATAACCACATAGAAGGTTTATAGACTATTAGTCAAATGCTCCAACGAGAAATATCCCAGCAAGTTTCCACTTCCAGGACCAAGCAACACAAAAATATCAAAACAAAGGAAACTAACACACATTAAGGAAAGAATCAAACAAGCGCCTTTAATCAACCCCACTCTCATGTCTCACCCCGTTCCTATCATTCATTTGCTAGCCAAGTTCTAGACTAATCCTAGGCACTTAATTAAACCTAAGCTCTGATACCACAAAATCTATCACGCTCCAAAATCAAGAGCGAAACAGACGCCGTGCACTTAGGAACAGGTCCCACAAATGCACAAGGCTCAAAACTTATTGAGTTCATAATTACTAATTCAAATAATTCAGATTTAGAAACTCGGGTAATATCTAGTTTCCTTCCTTTTTTTTTTCTAAATATTTATTAGTCAAAATGTACAAAGGTTTATAACTTCATTTATGCAATCATGACTGTAACTAAATGAGTTCTGTACACAAAAATTTCTAAGTCAGCATGGGTGACTAGCGGCCTAACTACAAAAAAAAAACCTTAGTTCCAATTGTTGCTTGTCGTTTTGGTTGTTCCTTCCTTGGGGTTCCCCTTGGTTGGGTTTTCCTTTCCTTAAATGGTGGACAAGGAAAACTATGAGATAAAATATCTCAGTAAGTAAATATAGATGCCTGGGATCAAAATTTAAAGCATGTCAAATAAACAGTTTAAACATATACAGAGCGTTTCAATAACAAACCATTAATGCAGAATAAAATTAAATAATGGTCTCCTCTATTAGTCATGACCAGTGTTATAAACCTCCCACTGGCAGGCACACGATTACTAGTATATAATCTCACTAGTAGGATAACACGAGCGAACCGGTTCTATCAGTAACATGTTGACATGTGGTAGCGTTTATAAACCTTCCACTAGCGAGCACATGAATAACATGACCATATCGGAGACAAAACCAAGCAAGATTTACAAAAAATTTCATGATTCACAATTGTTCTCACTTTCAAGAATAAACCGAAAAAATCTCATGTGGGCATGCTCAATTCTAGAAAATAAGGAAAATGATAAAAGTTCAATTCCCATTTTAATCATGCTCAATGCAAATAAATCTATTTAAACCTTATCACCATCTCAAAAACAAGTTAAAATATGCTTTAAAATTTAAGGGTATCACCATAATTTACTTACCTTAATTGCACAAGACAGAAAGGTTAACCCAAGTGCTAGGGTCACAAGACGATTAAGGACCTAATCACAATATTTCCGAATTAGTATCTATAAAGAAATTTTATTTCTTTATTTATTTTTATTTTTTCTTTTTCTCCTATCCAAAATTTGAATACATAGCATTAGATTGTGCATTTATATATATATATATATATACATAGTTACACATATATAATTTTTCCAAATTCATGGACAGGAAATGGGAGAACCGGTTTTGACAAAAATGGGCAAGTCACGGAATTTTCCTCTTTTTCTTTCATACAACATCACAGCAGCCCAATTAAAGGATTTCCTACATAAATTGACTTAAAACTCATTGCAAGGCTACCGGAATTCATCCCCTATTCCCAGCAGATTTTCGGACAACCCAGCCCCCATACAACCAATTAAGCTCAACAAGGTAGCAATTAATCAACCAATTTTCGGAAATTAGAGAAGCCAACCTACCAGAAATCCTTAGCAAGCAAGGCTGGAGCTAGCGGGTATGGGGAAGAGCTGGCGAAAAAATTGGAGGCTTTCGCGGGGACTACTAGCAATTGAAAGAAATGAAAATTATGGTGAACCCACATACATCAAGGCTGAAAAGAGGAGTTTCATGGCTGATTTTTACCAGGAAAACCGAAGCTCACACCCAGCAGCAATCGGCGGCAGGGGAGGAAGAAGACAGCAGATCTGGGAAATTTTCTGCAAGGGGGAAGATTTCTAAGTCCTAGACTTGTTCTTGAACAAGAAAAGAACAAAAATAATCAAGTTCTCTTACCAATTTCTCAGGTGGAGGCGTCGGTGATGGCTGTGCTCATTTCCGGCTGCAGGGGAGAAAAAGAGACAGAGCAGACACGCGAAAATGGCTGGGGGAAGAAGGAGAGAAAGAAAAAAAGAAAAAAAGAAAAAAATCAGCCAGCCTTATCCAAAAATCTTTTGAACCCCTTGGAATTTGAAATTTTGACTATTAGGTCCATTAATAACGTTTCCTCACCATTAAGTCCCTAACTCAACTTCAATGTTCTTGAAATTTTTGGGGTATTACATAGTGTATGGGCTCTAGAGGGAAGGAAATGGACACGATGCTTGTGCAACAAAGTGTGATACCAATAGTCTAGAAAGGTTGGTTCAGTTGGTGTAAATTTCGATTACTTTTTGACCGTAAGATTTTAGGCTCGAAATGTTAAAATTTAAAGACCAATGTATGTGAAATTTAAGACATTAAGATTTAATAAAATAAATAAATTATATATTTTAATCTTTATAATTAATATATTATTTAAGAATTTTTAAGGATGACCATAAACAAAACCTATAAAATAAACATAATTAGTATTAAGATTTAGTTCTTTCTTTTCGTATTTAATTTTTGTATAATAACAACTAATAGGTCAACCAATCCTTAACTTTACTATTGATAGAGGTAGAAATTTCTAAATAAGAGAAGGGACTTAACCTATTATAATACTCTTTTAAGTACTCCCATCAACTAGTGGTATCCGAGTGTTGGATCCGGGTGTGCACACATCATTTTCCTAACTAATAATAATAATAATAATAATAATAATAGATACAGTTGAGAAAAAAATAATGACCAGGAATTTTTAAAAGAGCTAAGATAATGCATTATCTTATTATAAGAAAATGCTATATTTATAATAATTCATAAAAGTATATAAATTTATAATAAAAATATATATTTGTTTT